AGGAGGCTAAGCGCAAAGCCGTGGCGAAAGACGAAGCCTTGCCCGACAAAACAAGCGCGAAGAAGCTCGCCATGAGAACAACAAGCCCCATGATCGAGTAGATGAAGTGCTGCACGTACAGACACCAAAGCAATTGCATTAGCGTGGGAAGCAGGGCGCAAGAGAGAGAGAGATAAGGTCTACGCACAGGTATTAGGAGGCGCAGGTCTCGAGTGCGCAATCCAACGTAGCCAACTGTGGCCACTACAAGATGAGCAATCCAGACAAGCCACCAACTGAAGGGGATGGAGTTGGCCAATGAAAGAAACAGAATTGGCACAAACTTGGGCGTGTGTGTTTGGGGGGGAGGGGGATTAGTCAGAATAATACAACCTATGCTTTTGCTGGCAGGTACCACTTGCAATAGGATGATGGATGCTGAAAGCCACTTGGGTAAGCACTCGCCACTTGGAAACCTTGCGACCGTGTGCATGTCTTGTTTGTTTTTTTGCTGGCTACTGAAGCAGGCGAACACAGTGACGCGGTTGGCCTAAAGCACCCACCACGTGGCGCCAGCGTGGCCATTGGGCAGTGAGTTTCCTCTCCTTTTTCTTTCTTCTCATGCATTCTTTTTCTCTGAAGCTGGGCAACTGCATGTTCAGGGCTGTTTGTTTTTTTCGTAACCAGCTTTCTTCTCCTTGGCGCCTTTATTTGTACCCCTAATGCTACAGCAACATGCTGTAGATGACCTTGATGAGCCTTGTGATATCATTGTGGGGTGATGCAGAGGAACATCCCAGTTCCATCATCTTCTTGATCTGGGTGGCCAGGTCATATGTGTGGCTTTGGGAGGGGGAGGTGGGGACAAGGCTATTGCACTTTGGGATATTGTGTTTGACCTTGCTGTGGGTGCTGATGGACCAATGCACTGCACACACACATGCCCACGCCTGCCCTCTTGTGAGTTGTCCACCTACTTTGCCTCAATGCTTAGTGACCACAAGGAAGCACAAAATGGGCAGGAGGCCCTCC